TTTACTGAAATCCATAACTGTTTCTTATTGTAAAGGCAAGTGCCAGGCATTGCATTCCGAATGCAATTTGATTGGCCAAACTACTAGTCTCAAAGCAAAACACACTTTATTTATACACTATAGTTAAAACACAACAAATGAAAGAAATTGGAATAACAACTCTATTAGAAAACTTAACTTAATAATAGATCATTTAACCACTAAACATTAAGTCTTCCAATTTAGTAACATCCCATAAACACACCCTTGACAAAGGCAATTCAGTAAAATAGATCATCTCGCATGCAATTCCAGCAGCAGGAAGGGAACCCCAGCTTTTAGCTGTAATAGAGAGAGGATAAACAGCTTCCATAACCAGCTTCAAGACCCTAGCAGCTGCGACTGAAAAACTAAAATTAAATATCCTGGTTCTGTGGGAGCTTGACCCCATCAATTCAGGCTGCTTGTATCGTTCCAACTTTAAAAAAAAATCAAGGTTTCACAAGCTGTTTATTGCATTCTGTATCTTCCTGTAATATCCTGGGATCCTTGCCACCTCTGTCTTAAAACTTGTCTTCAAAAAAATATCCAGGACAAAATACACCTCTCAAAGCCATAGAATCGTCACACCTCCCCTCTTTAAAAAAAAATCAATGTACAAAGCTGGCTTCATTTTTAAAAAACATTTAGTCCTACGCTATTAGCACACTACAATACATATACATGACATTGTCTCTAAGCATGCAAACATTCAGTACTACAGTCCATTTCAGTCTTTTTTCTGCAACAAAACACCTCTGTCTTCCTTCATCAAAGTCGCAACAATGCATCGGCAATTATGCTTGCTCATCCTGCCATGTGTATAATTTTCAGTTTGAATGGCTGCAATAATAAACGCCATCTAAATAGTCTGAAACTTTTATCTTCAAATTATACAAAATCTTTAAGGGATTATGATCAATTTTTCATTTGTCTCAGACACATTACTGTCAACATAAGTATTGAAATGTTGCAATGCCAACAACAAACTCAAGGTCTCCTTCTCAATCGTGGAATATATCTGTTGATTATTCAATTTTCTGGAAAAATACCCCATAGGTCTTTCTATCTTCTCATTGTCTTCTTGCAAGAGTACCGTAGTGATATTCACATCACTTGCATCGATAGCCACCTTGAATAGCTTTGTACAGTTAGGTATGGCTAACACTGGGGCAATGGTTAACACAGCTTTCAGGCTGTCAGATGCCTTCAGACATTCCTCTGTCCTCTGAACCTTTTCGTACTTCTTCAAGTCAGTCACCGAAGCAACCACGCTGCTAAAATTCAGTCCGAACTACTGATAAAAACCACTCAGTCCCAGGAATTGTAGTACTTCCCTCTTCATTGATGGTATGGGAAACTCCCCAGTACCTTTGTTTTCACATCTCATGGGGCCATATTTCCGTGTCCAAATGACATGGCTCAGGAATGTGACTTTGCGAACTCACTCTCAGCCAGATTTATCATCAAGCCCACCTCCAAAAGTCGATTGAACAGATCTGATAGATACTCCAAATGTTCCTTCCAAGTGTGACTAAAAATCACCAGATTGTTGATGTACACCACACAATTGGATAATCCGGAAATAACTTTATTGGTTAGTCTTTATATGTGGCTGACATTTTTAGTACCAAATGGCATGACTTTAAACCGGTACAGTCCATTCGGCATCGGATAAGGTACCTGCTTGTATCCTCTGAGAAAGACTGAGTTATAAATATATGTTGCTTGTCCCAGTTTCTCAATACAGTTTTCCAAATGTGGAATAGGATAGGAATCATTTTTCATAACTGCATTGACTTTATGATAGTCCATAGATAATCATTGGATACCAACTGGTTTTGGTAACATAATTATGGGTGAGCTCCATTTGATGCAACTCACTTTGATTATATTGTCTTTGACATGCACTCAATCTCTTTTTAATCCTGTGCCAACTTTAGAATGTTAAGTCTATAAAGTTGTTGCTTAATTGGAACAGCATTTCTTATATCTACAACATGCATAATTAGATTTGTACTTCCCAGCTTTTTCCCACATTTCGCTCCATGTGATTGTAACTACTCTTTCAGATCATTTTGATTTTCCTCTGGAAAGTAACTCAACAATTTATCCCAATTTTTGAGAATGAAATGAACAATTCAGAATCATCTGAACTTGGTTCTTCACTCTGTGTTGTAACCAGTAAAACATTCACCTTTTGCTTACCTTCCCTCCCAAAATAACTTTTTGAGCATATTCATATGACACACTGCAGGATGACAACAATGGTTTGGTTGAGTGACAAAGAAGTGGCAAATAGAATTAAATTGGAGAAATGCGAGGCTTTGTATTTGGGGAGAGCAAACAAATCAAATTAATACAAGTACATGGATATTGAGAGGAGTGGAACAAGTGAAACATCTTGAAGTGCCCAGGTAGCTGAAGGTGTCAGGGCAGAGAGATAAAGTGGTAAGGAAGGCAAATGAGAACCTTTCCTGTGTTGGAAAAAATGCTGAAAACAAAAGCAGGAATGTGATCCTGGAATTATATAAGATACTGATTAGGTTACAGCTGGAGTTTTGTGTATAGTCTTCATTACCACATTACAGGAAAGTGATAACTGCTCACAAGAGAGTACAGAGAAGATTTACAACAATGTTGCCAGGGTTTAAAAACTGCAGTTGGGTTGTTTTCTTTAGAACAGAAGAGGTTGAGGGTTGACTTAATTGAAACGAAAGGTCTGTTTTCTCTTAGCAGAGAGGCTAATTACAAGGGGACACAGATTTAAGATGCTTGTTCCTCAGTTTGACAAGTCCCTTGATTAGCTAGTATTTCTGAGACACGTTCCATGACTTCTTCTGTGAAGCCATCCACAAAGGGTGGAATCTTATGATTTTTTTTAAAAACCAAGAGCAACTCTAAGCGAATTTGGTGAAGTGAATTTTGTCATGGTGCCAAGCAAGTTTTCTCAACATGTGTTACCAAATTCAACACCTTAATTTCCATTTGAGCCCTCACAATGAGAATCAAGCCCTATTTCAATGCCATCTTACCCAGCTCCACTCCCAGAGCAACCTGCCACTCACTGGAGATCTCAGAATTGACTGGTATTCCTCTTACCAGCTCCATTGTTAAAACCAGTGTGCAGGTGGACACATACTGTTGGTCTAGAGCTACTTTAACATTTGCCCCAGACATGGCCGACAGAGGGGAATCCTCACTCCACTTCACAGGCATGGTCCTGCATATCCTACTGGATGGGGTGGTACACAGGCAAGGCTTTCTCTTCCCCCAGACAAGCAGCAGACACCACAACATCAGACTATGCCAGCCTTGTCCGAGATTGCCACCTGTGTTGACGTAGTCTCAGCCTTCTGGAAGAATGCCCAGCACGGTAGAAGAAGGTTAATGACTTTCACCAATCCAAGATAAGTGCCAATACCTCTCTCCAGTGCCTCACACTCACTCAATTTCTGTTACTGCACCCATTTCTTACCAAGGATCACATTCTACCACTAATGCCTGCAACATCACACTCACCCACGCCCAAATGACACCTGCACTAACCCTGCATGCCCTCTGTGCTGCCTATTCATTTACTCCGGAAACCTCCCCACCTGCACAGTAATAGCTGTACTACCCACTTTCCTCTTCTATAATATTTGGTTCTCTCTCATTCCACAAGGAAACCAATCTACATTAGGGCAGAAACAGTCAAGACGTGTTGCGTTGCCACGATTCAGCTTCTCATCCGTTTTGAGCAAAGGATCATGTCTCTGACTGCCCTGAGCAGGGCCCAGTCTGGTATTGGAGGCTATGATGACTTACTGTGCTGGGATTCCCTGGTAGAAGGCTATTCCTCCTAATTGGACAGAGGCCTGACATTGTGTCTATGGTATGTGGCACAGTATGACATTAGTAATATAGCTGAGGGAGCAAAGCACAAAAAGACAAGGCAAAGATGCTGTGAGCATCCAGGTATGTGCAGAGTGAGCAAGCGCTAAGATAGTGAGTGAAGAGATGCAGCCTGATCCAGTTCATGAGTTGTGTGTATGTCCCTGAGCACCAAGTGTTTTTGCTGCAGCTTTACAATTATAGTATAATACACAGATTTGTCCTAACTAATCTTTTGCTTTTCAAATACCAAAAAAATTTTTTACACTCTGCTTTTACGCATTTCACTAGCTTGCATTCATAATCCATTTTCCAAGTATTTATAGCTTCTTGGTCATCTTATGTTGGGTTCCAAATTGCACCTAATCCTCGGACCTTTCACTTTTACTGGCATCCTTTTAAGCTATTTCCTTTGCTTTAATCCGATCTTTAACTTCTTTTGTTAGCTATGGTACATAATGCCCTTAACATAGTAAAACACCCTAAGGAAGTTCAATCCACTTACTGGAGAATTATCAAACAAAATTTGGCATGATTTGCATGCAGTTTCACGCTACCAAATATTCACATATTCAAATATTCAGATTCACAATCATTTTTTTAATGGGCATTTTTTAAAGATCCAATATCTAATTCAGTTCACAAGGGATCCTTTTGAGTCTTGACTGGCACTGGATAATATAAAAACACAGTCCTTTGTTGTGTCCTCCTTTGAGGCTGCATCTCACCATGTGGTAGATTTATACCACCGTCTTCTTTAAGTGTAGGGTCCTACAGGGCTTGCTTTGGCTAATGTGGTAGAGGAAAATGCTATCTCTGAGGAAAATACGTACTATTTTAACTAGAACAGTAATGGTTTTCCGTTTGTTAGCGACTAATTACAGGTTACATTGATATGATAGTCTCTATATCAATGTCTATGTCAATATCAATTTTCTACCCAACTGAGCTGGTGCATGCAATATCAAAGCAATTAAAGAACTGAAAATATATAACACAGGAGAGCAGTACAGAAAGACCTGCTTTTGTGGCAATTTAAATAAGTACTTAGCAAAAGATACTAGATTCATTAAAGAATATTTAATAATACTTGGTTTCTCCTCCAGATTCCCAATCACTTCATGTGGCTCATATTTTTCCATGGGTTTTTCCATTCAACCTTGAACTTTATTGCTGAGCTGATGCGGTTTGGAGATCGGAGATTTTATCGGGACTGGTGGTAGGTGCTTTATTGCACTATATACCCTTCATGCCCATGAAGGAGAAAAGAGTTGTTTTCGCAAAATGTAATTTGCATTGAAAGATATAATAGCTAACCTTGGTCATTGGTATACAATAAGGATAGAACTTGCAATGGATGCAGTACAGTGAAAGTTATCTCGCATGACCTCTATTTGGACTTTGTTTAAGATTTTGTTGAATGAGACTGGTCTCCCTATGTGGGGTCAATTTCAGACAAGTTTCCATTCATCCTATAAAAATTTTTAAGAACCTCAGTGATTCAGCTGGCAGTAAGTAACTCTCCTAAAAAGACTCAAAAAATTCAAAATTTAATCCATTGGTGTATGCTGGTGCAGCTAACTTCAGCCTGCAGGATTTTTATGGATGCAAATTTGGCATCACTATGGATTGAAGGGGGAAATATCAGGAATCCTATCAAGAGACCTCTTCTGAAACTAGCTCTGACAAGATCAACTATAGCTATAATGATCCTAGCAATTAACAATCTATCGAAATTGACCACCAAGGCTGACAAAAGAGGAATGGCCTCCTTATCAGGATACTAGAGAGCATCTATCATGACAGTGTTGTATTGTAGCAAGTCACATTAGGGTAGATTTTGACTTTTATAATGATGTAAGATCTGTAACTGGTTTTATATCTCTGCTGATATTTTATTTCCTTAAGGAAATGTAAAATTGGTTGTGGATTTGACTATTATTTCATTATTGTACAAAGGTCGACATTTGCCCCAATGACTTCAAGAGAAAGAAGGCGGAGAATTAATTGGAAAAGAAGATGGGCAAAACTGAATATAAACTGGCCACTTATCAACAAATAAATTTATATCCATCAGAAAAGTGCATGGGAATCATGATTTATAATTAACCCACACTGGGTCGATGTATTGCAGGCATCATGTCAGTTTTATGCTGGCTGCTCTTTTAAATGATAACTGTAATGCTAATCACTATTTGTCAGCAGCACGCATTCAGCAAGAGATAAAAAAATAATAGCAGATTAGAAATAATCAAAGCCAGCCCGCAATTCTTAAAAGGGAGGTGTGTTGTAGCTAGTGTAGGTCCAATTTTCGAAAAATCACCTCTTGATAAATTCATAAGGCTCATATGCAGTGTGGTCCAAGCTGACTCTGTACTTTATTTCTGGAGAAGTTATTATTTTATATTATAACAA